TTTGAGTGTCGGTTGCAGAATCAGGCAGCGGAGGCGACCAGGAGAGAATGTCTACGCAGCTCAGCGGATGATAGGTCTTGGGAAAAGCATCTATAATCATCCGAGTGTTCAGCCTCTCCACCTCACATGGAGACGACGTTGTGGTGCGCGAGGTGGTGAAGGTCGTCGTCGTCGGGGAATGATGAGCATTCATGGTAATAGACTCCCGATGTCTGAGGCGCGTGCCTGGTTTGCGTCGTGCGCGTTTGCTTTCCAGATACTCGCAGACCATGTTGCGTTTCGCACACCGCGCACATTGCGGTTTCTCCTTGGTGCATCTGATCTTGGATGCTGCGCAGCTCTTGCAGCTTTCCCGGAATTTGGGGCCGGTTGGGGACAGACTCCGCCGAGTTCGATCCGGAGGGGGGCTTTGTAAGCTGGTCATTGGGTTGCTTCTGAAATGTAGAGGACGCAATGGTCGGACATGACAGTAGCCATGAATGGAGTTTATGAGGAGAAGGATCAGAAGTCGGGACGAGGGGCTAATTTGTCGATTCATGGAGGTGGTGATGAACGATAGGTGAGGAGTCCCCAATTACCACTGCACTTTATCGCTCTGCTCGGATTGGCTCTTACACAGTAGAGCGCTCTCAGCTCTAAGCCGTATCAGTACCGGAAAGCCGCCGGGCAAAAGGGAGCGGGGAACTTACATTTGATTGGGTCGACAATAGCTTACTCGTATATCCTTGTAGATGGTCTAAATGATAAGAAAACCTGATATACCGCAACATGCAACTTGGAGCACCTAATCTTCAATTCACAAAAATCCCACAGCAGCTTAATTGTTTCAAAGCTGAGAAGACTTTTTCTTTTCTTGTCATTTTTTTTTCGCAGGGATCAGAGTAGAGTATTGTCATCAAAAGGTGTTTTGGGCGGGGAGAGAGGATGCAAGGGAGAAAGAAGGGGGGGTGGGCTCGGGGTACGCAGAGTAGGCACCAGGACTAAATAATAACTGTGGCAACGCATGGCTACCACCTTCTAGAGGAGAGATATCCCCATCATCTATCAATATCTGCCATTGGATAGACCGGGTCAGTGGTCTCAATCAACGGGAGACCATGCTGGACCGAAATGAGGGGTAAATCTGGCCGCGTTTCCCCCCAGCTAGCGCTAGAATTGGACCGCCCACTATATTGCGAATGACCCGTGGCCTGACTTGGAATCGCGGCGACAACTATCTTGTCAATTAGGCCTATGTGATGAAGCGAAAACTAAGGATCTGGATTTGATTCATGGTTTGAATTGCCTGATCAGACGGTATCTTCCTAGATCAGCCACTTGATTCAGATGAATTGACTAAATGGTTAGGGGCAAGGCCGAGCCTGGCGGGGATGCCACGCTTTATAATGAGGGACATTCATCTTGTCCTCAATTCTGTAGATTCATATCCACTGATCACAGTGTTTCTCCTTGTACACTTTAAGAACCTGCCCCCTTTGATTCCGTGCAACACATATATGCTTACCTGCCATGCTCAATCTGGCCCAGCTCGAAAGTCAAACTCGTGGGCTTTTAGCAGCCCTCAAGCAGCTCGCGGAGCATTGTCCTTCGGCCGTCGATGGAACAGCTGAAGGCATGGTTCCAGGGCTTTCACCGTGGTCAACGACTGGGGAATTGGGGGAGGCGACCCGAGCACGAGAGACGGTACTGAAATGTCTTACGAAGCTGCAAATTTCGCTGGCAGGGCCGATTGAAGTCCTCCAGCACATGGCGAGCCAGGTATCATCTCCGACTCATGTTCTGTTATCTGGGTTGACATGGTCGCTCAAACGCGAACGAAAATACCATTTGGGACTCTCATACTAACTTCTTGGTGGTTAGATCCAGCTTCTTGCGTGCTTACAATGGCTAGGAGAGTTCCAAGTGCCAGCCTGCATCCCGCTCGACGGCAGTGCCTCCATCAAAGATGTCGCAGAGCTCATTGGCGTTCCTGAAAATCACATCTGTCGGATCGTACGTATGGCAATCACTGCAGGCTTTTTGCAAGAGACGGAACCTGGGCACGTGGCTCACAGTCCGTTGTCGGCTGCTTTCGTGACGAATCCCTCTTACGTTGACGCCGCGATGTTCCTGGCTAGAATCACAACTCCCGCCGCCCTGAACATGCCTTCAATCACTCGACAGCGCACAGCCGGCATGTGTGACCGGGCAAATCAAGTTGAACAAAAGAATAATATTATCAATATAGTCAATTCATTCACCCTCGACGAGACAGCCCTGCCTCGGCTGGAGCGGCAGTGGTATGCGTATCTACGATTTGGCACCAAAAACCTTTGTGACACGGCCACAGATATTATATCCTGTTTGGACTCAATTCAAGGCACCAGCGCGACAGTGGTCGAGGTAGGTACCTGCGGTTTCTCTTTCTCCTCTAAATTTTCTCACGCACCCCGGTGTCATACTGACCGTGCGTGCGCCACACGCAGGTGGGAGCGCGTTCATTGGACCGTGCGATGACGCTTGCTAATCGATACCCTACGCTCCGGTTCATCATTCAAATCCACCTGCCCAGCTCTGCGTCTGGCAGCGGCAAAGATGAGGCCAAGTATGACCGTACGCGGGCCATCCGCTCCCATTCGCAGATCACAGTGCAGTATCGCACACCGGGTACGCCCCAGCAGATTCAAGACGCGACGGTCTATATCATCAACTTTCCCCTCCCGCTCCCGGGCGTGTCATCATGCTCCATCTCCGCGCAGCTCGAGACGGAGCTTCGAGCACATCTGCAGGCGTTGCGCCTGAGCCCGGCAGCGACGCTGGTTCTCACAGCACCCGCGCTGCCTGAGCGGGGGGCGAGGGGCACCGAGGTGGCGGTGCTCACTCGTATTCGCGACCTCTCTTTTTTGCAGCTCGCCAACGATCGGGAGCCGGAAATCTCAGAGCTAATCAATCTGTTGAACGGGGTGGGTGACAGTGAGGGTCGGTTTGTCGTGGTAAAAATGGTGAAATCCACAGCAAATAACGGCGCCATTGGTCTAGAGCTCAAGTATCAGGAGTATTCAGACCGGTAGCAGTAATACACAATAACTCATCAAACAATAATTCATCAAAATCGCTGCCGCAGTAGAACTTTACAATAAAGGTTTAGCTGTGGACAGATATTCTAGGCCACCGTTATGCTCTTTTTATCTCACAAGTAAATGGTTCGCCAAGATCAATGGTTAAACCTCGAGCATTTTGAGGGGAGGAGAGAGAAGATTTTCACGGCGTACTCTACACAATCGCTGGCATCAGGCATCACCGAGGTGGATCTAACCTGACATTGAGAACGACGGGCACCTTGTAGCTTGATCATTAATCGCTAATCGCTCTCTGGGTCACTTTGTCCAGAAAAAGCCTCTGATCATACATCCGGATGGGAACTTTCCACTGTACCGAGAGCCGATATCATGCCCGAGGGTGGCTTGACCGGGACTACAGAAGCCGTCCGGGGGCCTTTCCCGGGATTCATACCCTTCCCATACACTGTAACCATAAAGGTTGTGCATTGTTAAGACAATCTGACGTACATCAGACCCAACGAGTACGACAGAGTTTCTCAGCGGCCCGAGAATGGGGAGTCATCAACGCTTTCTCACGAAACCCGCGCACAAGGGCGGCTACCGCCAGATCAACAAAGCCCTCAACATCAACGCCTTTGAAGACTACCTAGAAGCTCAGATATCCCGACTACCCGCCTTAGCTGAAGTTGAGAAGCTCAGTCCATGCGTCTGGCGGATCTTGGGCCAGAATCCCGGGCCATTTACACTGCAGGGAACCAACACCTACCTGGTGGGCACCGGCCGCCGCCGCCTGCTGATCGACACAGGTCAGGGTATCCCCGAGTGGGCGAATCTGATCGCCGAGACCTTGAGAACCACCGGAGCTCGCCTTTCCAGCGTGTTGCTCACGCACTGGCACGGGGACCACACGGGGGGCGTCCCCGACCTTTTGCGCCTGTATCCGGATGACCTCGTCGATAAAGTCTACAAACACACGCCCGGCCAGGACCTGCAACCCATCAGTGACGGACAAGTCTTCCAGGTGGAAGGAGCAACGGTCCGCGCCGTGCATACTCCCGGCCATTCGCACGACCATACGTGCTTCATCCTCGAGGAGGAGCATGCCATGGTCAGTATACTATTTCTCCGGTTGCATGGTTGTTTGCCCTTGAGCGCTAACGTTTCCCCCCATTCCTGCCCGCGGAACGCGGGTGGGGGGAGGAGGGGGGTCCCTCATAGTTCACCGGCGACAACATTCTCGGTCATGGAACCGCCGCTGTTGAGGAGCTTGGGCCTTGGATGGCCTCGCTGCGCACGATGCAGAGCCACGGCTGCACCACGGGCTACCCGGCCCATGGGGCACCGATCCGTGACCTTCCGGGTAAGATCGCCGCTGAGCTAGCCTCCAAACTCCGGCGCGAAGACCAAGTGCTGGCCGCACTGGATCAGGTCGCCCGTGGCAGTAGCGGTCCCTGCAGTGTGACCGTGCAGCAGTTAGTGACAGTCATGCACGGGGACGGTCTCGATCCTGGCGTCCGGCAGACTGCCGTGGAGCCGTTTATGGAGGAGGTCTTGCGCAAGTTAGCGGCGGATGGCCGGGTCGCGTTTCGATTACGCCAGGGGGTCAAGAGGTGGTATAGAGTACCGGTGCACTGATGGTTGAAGCAAGTAGTTGAGGGGCTGGGCCACGCAATGAGTATTCTTTCGGGCAAGGAATAAGATAGGTCGGAAGTCGAGAATTCAAAATCATGTCTAGCCGGGGCTACAAGGGAAGTCACTCTGTTGTGTGCTGTGATGAAGTACCAATTGGCTTAGGTTCTTCATTATGTCCTTAGATCATCTTCTTTTAGGAGTCTGCGTGAATCTATCTCTACCAGTCACTGTTCTCTGATCTATCCCGTAAAAGGGATCGCAGCACAACCCTCATTAAAATATTATCGGCAGTGAAGCACGCGGATATCGGTCTATATAGTAAGGAGTTTAAAACTCCATTGCCAGTCGTTTTCGGATCCACTGGCGGGCTGTGAGCGTGCCCCAGTTCCCACGCATATTTGGCTTCCACTTACCCGGAGTCTCACAACCCGGGGCGATTGCAATCACCTCATTCGGATTAGGCACTCCAAAGAAGACCAGAGAGTAGCGGTCAACTACCATTTCCTCCTCCTTTGTATACACCCCGTGGCTATCATCCACCGGAACCCCATGGATTGGCGGCAACATCAGGGGCGCAGGAGCGACTACGCGGTGCAGGGAACTTCGCCAGCGGCCGTTAGAGAGTTGCTCCAGCATATCGCCCACGTTGACGATAACAGCCCCCGGAACCGGCACGATGGGACGGAATTGATGGCCATCGTGAACCTCCAGCCCCCCAACTGCATCCTGGAAGACCAGCGTCAGGGTGCCGAAGTCGGTATGCGCGTTGAGTCGCTTGGCCCCGTCGACGTTGAGCGCCCGCGCCGACATCGCCGGGTAGTAGTTCCACGTCACGTGACAGTCGTTGGCCGAGTGAATGCGATTGAAGTAATCATCGTTATCATTCTGGTTCATGGCTCTTGCTGCCGCTATCCCTACCGATTCCTTCGTCTCGTCCGGGCCGCCGCCGCTGCTATCACTGACACGCAGCGCCTCCCCCAGGCATCGGTACAGGTCATGAGCCAGGATCGCACAGTCGGTCCACCAACCCTCCAGGAACCCTCGAAAGCCCGGCAGTGTCACCTCCGGCAGCCACGGGTTGGGCGGCAACTTCGCGTCAAACGGATTGCCCAGCTCCAGCGTTTCCTTGCAGTCTGGGTTCTGCTGGCGGATGGCCGCCGCTTTGTCCGCGTCAAATTCCATATGCACCGTGTAGCCCAGCCCTACTCGCGCCCAGCCGCGGTTGGTGTCGATATCGCCGCTGGGGGGGTGTGCGATTAGTTCCTTGGTGGCAGTGGGCTGCATGAAAAACCGCTCGGCCTGCGCGTGATTATGGGGTTAGCCAGTTGGAGTCTTATTTTCTTCGTGGTGGGGTTTTAATAGGATCATAGAGAGATTGACAGTGAGAGAGGAAAAGAAGGCGGCGGCAGGAGATTGTAAGCAAGAACTTACCCACTCAAAGGCCTCTTGCAGCTTGTCAGCCCCTATCCCGTGGTTATCAAGCTGGACGAACCCCCATTCACAAAAGGCGGCGTCCAGCAAGGCTACGGCAACTCTCCGTCGCTTGGCGTCTGGCGAAGTGAGCGCGCGGAAGTCCACCAGGGGAACATCGGCCGGCTCGACATAGTGACTGCCGTTATGGAGAGCTTCTTGGGTCATCTTGCAGCGGTGGATTGCAGGCAAATCAGGCAATGATGGTGTCTCGTATATGATTCTCAACGTCGTTTGTCAGTACGAGAGAGGTTGAGAAAGTTGGAAACGGTTTGCAGAAGTAGTCAATTACTTGCAATGTAAGCAGAAACTTGAAACGTTGCATCAAGTCAGAGCGAAGATCAGAGGTTCTCCTAGTCTCCCCCTTTGTTTTTTTTTTTTTATCTTTTACTCCAAGATCGGCCGGTTTAAATTATGAGCGAACTGTCAAGTATTGCCGGGAACAAAGCTCATAAACACACCGAACCAGCCCATTCATGTTGTCCGGGACTTGCGCGCTCTTCTCGCTGGTCTGATGGTATGATGGCGCTACAGGGCCTTTACCGGCCTTGCTCGCTGATTACGATGAAGCGGAGTGATCAATACTGAGTCGGACACAATCTATAGGAGTAGGCTAATTGATGAAGGTCCATTTCCCTCTTCACGGTGAGATGAAGTGAGTCTTGTAGATTCTTAGGGCTTTTGAGTATGTATACTAGGTGTGGTATCGATCCCAAGCCTCTCAAATTTCATCTTGTCGCCATTCACTTGCGGACGACCCGACAAGATTCCTAATTCACTATCCCGCCTCACAGAGTTCCTGGCCCAATCACTCTATTGTTGGGCAGTCAAGCTACAATAGACATGGAAAGTTAATCTTGAACTCTTCATTCTGCAGCTTGTCCCTTGCCCGTTGACCGTTTCCCGATGGCCGATTCGCGATGGCCGATCCCCGATGGCCGATCCCCGATGGCCGGGTTTAGCCCCGCGAGGATCCGCTCGCTTGCACGGTCCTGGCTGATCGTCTCCGGCGGGGACCTTCTCCTCCTCCTACTTATTTCCATTATCTTCTATGGCATTATTTTGATGCAAGTATATACAATAATTCAGGGGTGAGGGACTGCTCGTAATGAATGCCGCGTCAATCGGAGCCTCTTCGTAGCCCGGTCCTCTCGGTGTGAGAATCGATGCGCCCGACCAACAGATCAAGACCAGAAAAACAGATTATACATAGTATAGAAGAATAGATACTTGAATGGGAAATGAAACGGGTCGGAATTCCGAAAAGTTGACAACAAAAAGTACCAGGAAGAAGATGAAGCGAACCGACAAGAATAGAAATAGATTTCCAAAGTAAGGTAAGATACAATCAAATATGTCTTAGTCGTTAAACATAACGCAATCAATTATTGGCGGTTTGAAAAAAGATCAATTACCAGGCAGGTAACAAGCTGGGGAAAGTAGGAAAATAACATGTATCTCTGCAGCGTCTTACAACGAGAGTGGAATTGAACATCCGATATCTTAGGATGTTTAGGTGTGACTTTGGCTTCTTCGGCGGCGCCTACCATTCCCCCTTCGCTGGGTCTTGCTGACCCGTCGGGAGATCCCAGTCTCGGTCATCGCCCTCTGCCTCCCCACTGAGAATCTCTAGCTGGCGGGTTCCGAAGCCAGACCGACTATGACCCCACCAATGCGACGGCCCCAATTATCGCCCCCAGCAAGGGGAACAAAGACCGCACCATATGCAGATTCCGCCAGTGACTGACCAAGGCCTGCGCTCGGCCAATTGCCATGCCTACCAGTTCCATTTGACCAGTGACGGCCTGCAATCGAAACAGCTCATGAGTGGTGGGCGCCATAACCAGCCACGTAAAGGGAGCTATAGCCACCGTCAGCACCCCGGCGAGGGCCAGCGCGCCCCACCTTCGGCTGGACCTCTGGTGGTAGCAAACCGCTGCGTAGATGTACAGCAGGCCGGTTAGGATGGTAGTGGAGGGGAGCACGACGTGGCCATAGTGATGCAGTCGGCTCCACTGGTGGAGAAGTTGCGGGGGGTGAGTGGTTGTGTCGAGGAGGACGGGGACAGCGATGAACGAGAGGGATAGCATGGCACCTGCGGCCCCCCACCCAAAATCAGTTTTCTTGCGTATCAGCTGTCTGCATCTTTCCTCTTCGAAGGGCTGGCTGGTTTTTTTCCGCTCCCCTCCCATTTCTCCCACCTCCTCTCTGGGCTGACAGGAGCTAGGAGATGGTGTTGGGCGGTGGGGGAATAGAAATGCACTTACCGGTGAGAATCGAGCCTGTCATCACCGCGGCTACGTGCGGGTCGAAGGAGCTCCTCCGCCTCATCCTCAGGGCCGGTGCAACCATAGGATGGGGTATAGTGCTGTGCTTCACTACCTGCCCATCACGCACGATCTCCGTCACCCACCCGATGGTCATCATGCTGCGCCGCGTGTCGGCGAATTTCTCATGATCACCGACCAGATGCTCCCGGTACCAGGAATCCTCTTTCAGCCGCTTGTAGCCCGCCAGGTCGTGAAGCACCACCTGGCTGAAGCAATCGAAGTCGGCGATGTTGGCCATCTGCGGATCGATCAGTTGATCCATGAGCGCCCGACTTTCGGTGGTATTGTGGATCTAGTTTCGCGTTGGCAATGTCTCTCGGAGGCACACTAGACTCGCATGTTGTGTGTCCGACTCACCATCGTCCAGCGCTTCACTCCGTACTTGACCATTAGATCTGCGGTCATTGGAGCGGAGACCTGCGTCATATGCTGGCGGTAGTCGACCTCGCTCATTCCCGGGCGTCGGTAGCCGCAGATCGTGAGGCAGAGGGACTGGGCGGTGCTGTTATCCGCCGGGCGTGGCAGAATCGGGAGGCTCATAGTGGTGATCGAATGTGGCCTGGTGGCGAAGAGGTAAGTTGTTAAGAGGAAGGCAGAGGTGGAGAGGGTCGAGGGGAAGAAATGGACGGGCTTGAAGCGGGCCACAGAGCCGGGGAACTGACGACCTATATACCGCCTATCTCTAATGGGGGTGACGATGAGGTCGTCATGATCGGGAAAGGGATGCTGCTCGGTCGTGCTGCGGGAGGGAAGTCGCCGGCTGTGCTCTTCATGCTCTAGCAAGTAACTCGACGCGAGCATGAGAGAGGGAAGAAAATCACGGGTTGTGTCCAGCAATTGAAACACACGGTCTACAGAGATCTATTCAGATGACTGGTTGAACATACGAGCCCAGCATACTCGAGCACGAGTCCGCGACCATCAGAAGGGAGATATGGAAAAGATCGTGTAAGCTCTACGCTTCGTAACCGTGTGCCATAGAATGTACTGTAATCCTAACAACGACGGGCTCAGAATCAACATCAAGTGCATTCCTCCAGCCAGGACCGTAAGTCTCCAATGGTAGGATAGTTCAGGAACAGACTTCCCGACACCATCACGCGCAGCTGCTCCCGGAATTTTTCCGCGATCACCAGACTCATGAGAGAGTCGATGCCGAGACCCGCGAAATCGCATTCGTCAGTCAGCTCGGCCCGTTCGAGACCTGCTTCCGCGGCGATGATTTCCAAGGCGCGGGCAGCGATGGTGTCCGGATATGTGGCTACGGTCAGCGGGGATTCGACGGGGCTGTCGTCAAGGGGCGGAGTGGGCAGCGGAGCGCGAGCAGCGACAAAGGCCGGGGGAGTGGAAGGCTGGGCCGTGCTGAGTGCGGCAGGCTCGGCCGCCGACAATGCTTCATGATCGTCCGGGGCTGAGAAGAAGCGGCCTAGCAGAATCCGTGGGTACCGGCGGAATTGGATGCCACCCACCATGCCCATGATCATGCCTTCCTGCAACACATAGACGTCACCCACATAGATGGAGGGATCGTCGTCAGTAGGGATCATCTTCACGTACGACCGATACTGGTTTCCGGCAACCAGCGGCCGTGCGAACCGCATTGACCGCCAGCCAGGCGTCACGCAGAAGTGGTTCTTGGTATCGATGGCATCAGAGGTATTCATCACAAATCCAGCGAGGTGAGCAACACTGTCAATAAAGTGTGGAGGCACTGTCCAACTGCCACCCTGCTCGCGCGAGAGGGTCACATCCGCGTACGCTTCTAGTTCGTGCAAAACAACCGCCTGCATTCCGCGATACTTGGATGCATAGTCGACGAGGTTGTTGGCAAACAGCTGATATGCCATCTTATGGCTGAATCGTGTGGCAACGCTCTCACGGGCCAGCTGATCCAGCTGCCCGATGCGCCCCTGCACCAGATGAGCCAGGGGCGCCCACGAAGCGCGCCAGTCGTCCGCTTGGCCATAGATGAGGTTCGCAATGGCGAAGGGCTCCTCCACAGACCCATTTGCCTGCACATTGTGCCACTGCAGCTGCGCCGTCTGATTGCCGGTGGTCGACACCACCACTTGAATGATTTGCGGTTTTTCGGGGTTGTTATTGGCGACAAGCCCTTTGAGAACCTCGAGATTGGCGATATTTATGGCCGGCTGGTGCTGGTCCGGGTGTAGCCTCCTGTACAGGTATCCGCCCAGGGTGTAGGCAATGTCGGCGTGGATGGACTAAGCAATGTGGGAATTTATGAGGTTAGTGAGAAGAGTCAAAGATTGGTAGACATAAGAAGGGACGGAAGAACCAACCGAAGTCACCACACCACAATTGTTCATCTTGTGCCCCCAAGCAGCCGCGCGAAAATCGGCCTGCATCAGATCGGCCTGCATTACCACTTTGCCCGCAGCGCCATCGAAGTGCTCCTCCACGATCTGCTGGACAACTGATGTGCGGAGGCTTGAGGAGATTTGTCCTCGAGTAGCCCCTTGTTTGGTCTCGTAGAAGGTGTTGCCTTTGGTCAGGGCCCAGTTCCCTTTGTACGGGATCCAGTAGGTCTTGTCGTTCCAGGCGTATGTGGGCAGGTCTAACAGTCGCAGAGCCGGCTCAAACGGCCGATGAAATTCATTCCAGGTAATGAGTACCCCTGCGCAGTGCAGCGTAGCCAGAGTCCGTGTGAGGGTCGTCCAATTGCTCTCGCCTCGTCGTAACGAGGCCGCTGTGATAGGGGCCCCGGTTACGGTGGTTGAAGACGAGGCTAGGGTTGCTCGGATAAAGCCTGTGCAGACTGGGTGGGGACCAATCTCGATCCAAATCGTCTCGTCGTCAATGGTGCTCATCTCGTACGCGGCCTCGATGGCGGATCGAAAATCCACCGTCTCACGGGTCGCGCGCCGCATATACTGGGCACCAAGGGACCGGTCATCGAAGATGACTTTATTGAGGAGAGGGGAGATTATGGGGATCTGTGGGGGCTGAAAGAGCACGCCATGAGTAGCGAGGAACTCGAAGTCTTCGAGAATGGGATCGACCTGAGCCGAGTGAAAGGCAAATGCGACATCCAGACTGACACACTTGCAGTGTGCCTGCTCCAGGATTGGAACTAGACTATCCATCTCGGTGACGGTGCCACTAATCACAGTATCCTGAGGTCCGTTGATGCACGCAATCTCATACGGACGATCACCAGCGGTCTGCTGAACCTTCTCTACCGGGGCGCGCACTGCCACCATCTTATGGCTGCCTACTTGGCACCGCTCTTCGAGTAACCGAGCGCGATGACCAACGAGGAAGATCGTATCGTTTGCAGATAGAACCCCTGCAACTTGCAGTGCGGCGTACTCACCTAGACTGTGGCCGATCACCACATCCGGCCGCACGCCCAAGGTCGCCCAGTAGCGGGCGAGCGCAATCTGCACGCAGACCAGCGCAAGATGCGTGGCGACCGGCGAGTGCAGGTGAGTGGAGGGATAACTGCCGTCGAGGACGGAGAGGAAGGATGGAAATCCCTGGTCCTGAGCAATAACATTGAGTTGCCGGATTTGGGTGTGAAAGTAAGGTACTTGATGGTATAGCTCAAGGTGATAGGAGCGGAATGAAGCCCCCTGCCCGGTGAAGGCAAAGGCAATAGAGGGTGGCTCCATTAGAGAGACTGGTTTATATTCGTCGAGGCTGACTAGCGCTGATTTCAGTTGCTTCCGTGCCTGTGCAACGTCCGCTGCCACCACAGCCACGCGATGGTTGTGGTGATAGCGACGAGCGGTAGTCGTATAGGCGAGATCGCTCAGAAGCAAGTTAGGGTTCTGCTCGAGGAAGGTAAGTAATTGCTCAATATTTCTCCGCAAGGACCCCTTGCTCTTTGCTCCCACAGCTATAGCATGCATCGAGCGCTCATCGCTGCCTATCCTTGTGCGGATTGGCCCATCCTCGATGACCACTGTTGTATTGCCTCCGGCCGCGCTGAAGTTGTTGACAGCTGCTAAGCGCTTCTTTCCTGCCACACGCGGCCATTCGACCTTCGTATACGGAATATGGACGTTGCGTGTCTCGAGATCCAGAGGGAACTTGGGGTTCAGCACATTCTTAATCCCGATATGGGGAGGGATTAAATTCTTTTGCATCATAAGGAGAACTTTAAGCAGCGCGGTCACTCCGGCTGCGGCCTCACTGTGGCCGACGTTGGCCTTCACAGCTCCAATATGGAGTGGATCCTTTGAACTGCGGCGTCTTGATATGGGTGCAAAGACATTGGTCACTGACTGGATCTCTTCCAAATCACCGGCCTGTGTTCCTGTGCCATGCATCTCCACAAAACTGATATCGAGAGGATCTATACCGGCCCGGTCGAGTACTAAACGACTCAGGTCGGCCTGGTGGCCAGCATGCGGGTGCGTAATGGAGACCGCGTCGGCAGAGTGGTTTGTGCCCGCAGCTGCAATCACACCGAGGATATTGTCGTTATCGGCCTCAGCATCCTCCAAGCGTTTGAGCACGATCGAGGCTACCGCATCTGCTCGGCAATATCCGTCCGCCTCGCTGTCCCACGTCTTGCACGCATTGGCGCCCTTTGAGAGGAAATGACCGTTGCTCAGACCCGCAAATGCGTCTGAATTTGTCAGGATGTTCATTCCTCCGGCCACGATCATGTCGGTCTCCCCGCTCCACAAGGAGGTACAGGCAGCCTAGATTACGGATTCAATCCTCTGCCAGTTAGAGCAACCCAACTAATAGCCCGGAATCTCAGAGTCGAGGGGAGGGCAAGGGCCACTGTGCAACGTACCTGGATCGTTGCCAAGCTTGAGGAGCAGGCAGTATCGATGCTGTAGCTGGGTCCCGCAAACTTGAAGAAATAATTGATTCGCCCTGGGCCGAATGCTCGACATCCACCTGGGATGAAGTACGTACTGATTTCCTGGGCAGTATTTACTTCACGATAGTCGTCACTCGCTTGGCCATAGAAGGTCCCGATCCGAGATAATCGAGTAGAGAATGTACGATTAGCCACATATCCAGCTCGCTCCAATGCCTCATACGCAGTAACAAGGGCTAGCCGCTGCATAGGGTCCGTCTGCTCCGCCTCCCGCGGCGACATATTAAAGAACGGGGCATCGAATAAGCCTGGTTCGTCAATGAAGCATCCATAGGGGGTCCAGCTGCAGTTGAGCCGCTTTCGGTCCAGGTCAAAGTGGCTCTCGACGTTGAAGCGATCTGAGGGTATCTTGCGGTGAACATCCAAGCCGCTCTCCAGCAGCTCCCAGAACCTCTCGGTATTAATGGCCCCACCAGGCAGTCGGCAGGCCATGCCCACAATGGCAATCTTCGATTGCTGGGGTCCTCGAGGGAGGAGATCGTCTGCCGGGGTCTGGGCCTCGTGCAGCCAAGAGATAATCTCATCAGTCGAGACCTCTACGGCAGGGTTGATATTTTGCAGGGCCGCGGCGAGGTCATGGCTAGCAAGAGAGTTTCGGAAGACGAGCATCTGACAGTGCTCGGCGTTTATGCCCTGGGCCTGCTGCACGACCCCTTGAACGACTGTCGCCCACTCAATCCGCTGCGTGAGAATCTCGCGAACGATTTGCTCCAACAACTCCGTCGCATCTTGACCCGTGAAAGGGCGCCCGTCGCAGGTGGAGAGGATAGCGAGACACGGCACACTCCTTCCGTGATGGCCGGATATTGATGGGGTGCGCACGACGCGACGGACGTGCTCGTCGTTATAGATGTGACCTGCATGGCAGAGGCCTCCATAAACCGGGAGCGGTACGAATTTGCGGTTGCTAAAGACGTAGGCTGTGCGGAAAAGTTCCTTCAACCGGGCGGGCGGCCCACTGACTGTCGCCGAGGATACGCTGGCCGCGCTGATGAAGACTCGACTAGCCACCGGAGTTTGCTTTTGGAGTACATCCAGATCCTGCTGGACCTCCTCGGCCATTACCCCTGGTATCACGTAGGCCCAGGGATCAGGCGTTGCACTCGGGGTTGTTGTCTCCCGCGGCTGCAAGTTCTGTGAGACCTCGTCGACCACGATCCCAAGTCGGAAGGCTTGCCGGACCACTTGTGCGGCGGACGAGGGCAGATCCGCCAGCGTAGCCGCGAGAGATAGCGCTGCTGTCGCGAGAAGGCCCATTCCAAGCCCCGTCAAGACGGTGCTGGTGCTGTCCGAAGGGAAGATTTCTGGATGTTGCTCATAATATCTGGCCTATCAGTTCCAGGTCTCCATCAAGATTCATATCTTGTACGTACCCAATAATGGTTCCTAACTGGACGGTGCAAAGAAGCACGCCCTCCACCGAACCCCCCAGTGGTCCGTGGCGGAGGTCGGTGAAGCTGGCCAAGTTGAGAATGGATTCAAAGGGGGGCACCAGCTGATTTAGGCTGCTTGAGAGCCCCCGTATTTCTTCCCGCAGCGCACGGGTGGCTTCCTCGAGGAAGCGCGCAAGGAGTGGGTATCTTCGATCCTTGCTGCGGTAATGCAGGGCACGGAATAACGTGCACAAGCCATCCTTGGGGAACTCATTGGAGAAGTGGAGGACTCGCAACTGAACAGGCTCTCTGCTGCCGTCGTCTTCAGAGCGAGAGGGGGTGTAAATTGCCATGATGGCTTGTACACAGAATCAAGTCACTGTGCCTGTGAGTTGCCAATAAGGCGTGTGAAACGGCTTGATATAACCAGCCCATACGAAGATATTTCCGTTATAGCCCATTTCCGAGAGACGAGCCATGGAGTCATTTGATACGGTAGTGTTGACCCCCCGACCCGTGGCTCAGAGCTGTCGCGGGCCTCTCTCCTAGAGCGCACAGACCCCGGCGGTGGTCGTCTCCATTCCGCGTATTTTTTTCCCGAGAAAATCTTGATTCAGACACCGGCTGTCGGACTATTGCGATCCCCGTTATATGCTCGGCCTTGCTCTCTGCTCTCTCGCTGATTCGCTCGACTGGCTCTGTGGGAGTAGAATCCGGGGCCAAGTGTCTCTATCGACACGCCACTGCGAACTCCGGCTTGTGCCAAGGCACATTGCTTAATCTCTTCCTCGGATCATCAGCTACTATGGTGACTCCGGAATAGAGACCCTCCTCTTCATACAGTGTCTGACCTTTAGGCGCGGACAATAGAGTCATTGATTCTGGCTACCTTACCCGTAACTAGTGTCTTCCACTCTTCCCGGCCACGAATATTGCACACCTTAGGTATTACGAAAGACTCATGGAAGTTTCAAAGATATGTGTATAATAGACTAAGACAAAAATAGAATCTGAAATAGAATTAAACAAGGAGAAAGAGGTAAAAACAGCATCTCAATGCGTTTTAGAGTAGCGGCATGGCATATCACACCTAGTTCAAGTGCTCAGTCATAGTTAAGAAGATAATGACTGTATCTCAGGATTTCTGAACTCTATCTCGAAGGTTTTGGTCAGGAGTGTAAAAGTGATGGACCACGGAGATCACAACCGGACCGAATGATTAAACCTGATTCGGGTGTCTTTTTCTTACTTGGCAATAGAGTATATGCTATAACGGAAGAATGGCAAATCGTCATTGGAAATAACGGTGGTTCTAAAAAATAAGAGAAAAGTCGAAAACAATGTCAATGCTACGTAACCAATATTTATCCTTCGTAGAGCTTCCTTCCAATCAATAAGCGCATTTATCACTCTGCGGCTCCCCAGATTTCTCTCCACCCTCGAAGAAGATCCGGTCATGGTCGTATTCTGACCAGCGGATGCCCGGCTCGATGCCAGCAAACCGCCATTGCCCTTCCACCCTGCGATACCAGATGGTGGCCTGCCCGTGGGCGTGGCCCTTAAGGGCGACTTCGCTCAGCGCATCGTCGGCGTATTTCTGATGAGCGACGCGCATCTGATGCTGGCCGGTGATCTCATCCTCGCTGGTTTGGAGCCACTTAGACGCCCCGCCGACGAAATGCTGCGTCTTCAGGCGCGGGTTGCCCAGGAACTTATGATCGGACGCCATGAGCAGAAACTCAGGCGCAGGCATTTCTTCCCAGAGCTTGTTCAAGAAAGCACGGTAGTCGATCTGATGGAAACAGGTGGGGACGAGTTTAGCAGGCGCAGAAACCTTGGAGATCGAGTTCCATTATTCTGGGAGGAAGCATACCCGGAGCGTGGGAGCAATGCACTGGGCGAGACGATCCCAGTCTTTAGTGTCATAACTCTCCGCCCATTCATAAAGGGCTGTCTGACAACCAAGGACATCTACCGCATGAACGCGTCAATGGCTTGGGACTCTTGCAGGCGGGAGAAGGGGATATGGGGCTCAACCTTCGAAACAAGGAGCGGTCGGTTTCTCCATTATTGATGAGACACATGCGTATTGGTCTGTTTTCGGGCGGAATAGGGAAATAAAGCCGTGGATACAGGACTCTACGCATACTGAAACCCTATTTAAAAGCACTATGGTACCCCATAATTTGCGAGTTCTCCCGTGCCGGGCAACGCGTGGTTGACCGAACTCCGTATCGGAATTCCGAGATTAAGGCTGGTCTCTTGTGCGAGCAGGGAGATAAGACACCCCTCCCTCCTGTAGTGCATTCGGCAGTGCCGTGTGGGAATTCCATTGGAGAGTACTCTTGAATCTTTTTGACTAAAAGTCCCTAATGCCTTTAGTATGTCTACCTATGCTATCATTGGTTCTACCGGTAACTGTGGCACAGCCCTTCTCGACGTCCTGTCGCGGGATTCCACGGTAACGATCCGCGCGTATTGTCGCAGCCGGGCTAAACTCTTGGCCTTGTCTCCTGCTGCTGTCGACAACAAAAGGGTCCAGATCTTCGAGGGGGGTATTGACGACATCAACCTCCTGGCGCAGTGCGTGCAGGGAACGAAGGCCATATTCCATGTTGTGAGCACCAATACGAATATCCCCGGCTGCAATGTTGGCCTGCAGACGGCCCACACCCTCATTGCAGCCCTGAAGCAACTTCGAACGGCGGACGGCGGAGTAAACTCGCTACCAAAGGTGGTATTGCTGTCATCAGCCACCATTGATGATCACCTGTCGGAAAGAATGCCGTGGGTTGTAAGGGCGTTCTTGTTGACCGCCGCCAAGCATGTTTATGATGACTTACAACGGACTGAGACATTTCTACGCTCCGAGCAGGACCTCGTCACAACGATTTTCATCAAACCGGGGGGCTTGTCCGTTGACAAGCAGCGAGGTCATCGGCTGGACCTCCACCACGAGGAGTCCTTCATCTCGTACCTGGACCTGGCGGCGGCCATGGTCGAAGCGGCGGACGACCCCGAGGGCCGGTATGATATGAAGAATGTCGGGGTGGTGAATACAAATGGTAGCGCCCGTTTCCCCCTCGGTACAGTCGGCTGTCTCTTGATGGGTGTGCTGCGCTATTACTTTCCCATGCTGCACCCCTATTTGCCCTCCCCCGGTCCCCGTTAGACTTCACCCTGAGTCTTCAGAAGTGGGATCTTTGCATGAATGTGTATTTCTCGGGGTTGCAGCATTCAGAGACAAACGGTCTGCATCGGCGCAGCTGAATAATCCGGCCACGTGATTCAAGGCAATGTACCAAGCGGGTTGCCTATCTCGAGAACTTAGCTAGTTCAACCAATCACCCAACCAAAGGACCAAGAATTCACCGAGAACACGTATCCAGAACGCCCTGCTTTCATCATATTGCTTACATTCTGCATAAACTAGCTAGCGCGGCAAGGTGGTGGATATGTGAGAGAGAGAGAGTATGATGCTTGGAAATGGTCCCAAAGTATCACTTGTTTATCTCATTAGAATATTATCTATTTTCAAGCAATGACACATCTGCTAAATAAACACATATCGGGAGACTGATATCACCCGATCCAAAATTATTGCCTCTGTTTGGCAAGTAGCTTGCAAAATCTGACTGTCCAGGGTGAAGGGGTTCATGTGACTACGAAACTGGCATAATGAATGAGATAGGTTCTATGTTTGCATTTGCTTACGAAGCTCAACCGCGGGCACGCTAGTAGTGATATACATAGGACAATGACAAGCAAGTTTATGAGGAAACGCATTGCCCCTGCTGCCCCCTATTCTCAGCCAACTTCAGATCCGGCCGTTGCCAGGCCTCATCAAAGCCCGTGCCCATGATCCACTTGAGGTCCGGAGGTGAATGGCGAGTGGTCTCCAGGGCCATGCGGGCCAGCTTGATCCACATGTTCCCCTTTACAGGGAAGTGCTCCACCCACATCGGATGCTGCTCGTAGGGCCTGCTCAACAGTTCGGCGTGACGCAGGGCGCGCATGAATTTGGCGACATGCCCGTCGTCATGCTCTTGGTTCACAGCAGCGTACAAGGCCGCCCAGTTCATATCACGGGTGAAATCATCGGAGTAGTCGGAGATTGCGCAGACATCCAACTCCGGGGACTTGCAGAAGGCGTAGAAAGCCAGGTCCAGCCGACCCTTCCACTCAACCAGGCGAACCCGCACAGCCCGCGGAATCCACTCCTGGGCATTGAAGACGCTAAAGAAGAGCGACGCGGTCACCGTGTGCATCAGGAAGAAGTCGATCTTGCGGGGGCGCCGCGCCGACTGGCTCGCCCCGGCCAGGTAAGCGGCAGTGCTAGCCATCTCAGCCGTACGTATTGTTAGTAGGTCCACATGCTCCCCGGCCATCATCGTCATCCCCGACGCCGGAATGCGGAACTGCGCCGCAATGGGGATCAGCTCGTCCGCCGCCCGGTCCATGATGCTGTCACGCATGCGATTCCACCGGTCACCGAAGCGCAAGTCCGCCCAGATGCGCGGATGGCTGCGCACTTCGTCAATGAGCTGCACAAGTGACTTGGGAACCGTCGTCTCTGTCCGAGTGTCGTCCTCGGCAGCGATCGCCGCCTCGACCCCGAGCAGAAGTTTGTCAATGTGTCCGTCTTCGTGGGCAGCAGCCTGGGCCAGCGCCTCGGCGATGATACCCGGTTGGCCGAACTCGATCCCCAGCCCCAAGTGGATGAGAGAGTGGTACATCCCCTCGAACAGCTTAATCAGGAGCTTCTCCGCCAGCGGCGTTTCAGAGAAGACGTACGTGGTGACCACGGATTGCCACCCGTGGCGGTCAATCTGGGATTGAAAGTAGGTGAGGAAGGTGCTGTACATGTTGGACAAACCCAGCAGGGACTCCAGGGCCTGCGGGTTCGTGTCTAGCCGAGTGAGGATCATCGGGTCTACCACGGGGATCGGGCGTTGAATGGCCTCGGTGTCCGTGTAGGCGCGCTCGAGCTCCGAGGGAGAAGCACCAAGAGCCAACGCGGTCAGAATGCTATGGGCCATGTGGTTGTGGCCCGTGACCTCCCGGAAGAAAATGTGCCATTTGTCGTGGTTGGACTGAAGCAGCTCGCTGGCACGCGAAAGGGACTCGGCGGACACGGGAGGTCGCGGGCCTCCATCTGAATGACCGAGGCTGTCAACGACGTGCTGCGCAGACAGGCCAATGTGAGCAGTCATGATGAGGGACAGATGAATATCACGGGAGAATACATGCTAAAAAGGAAATGCCTTTTTCTTCAACGAGAGTTATGTATTGAGTCTACAGTATCGATCAACGTGTGGACTCGGAGAATGGCCCAGAGTCGGAGATCCGAGACTCGGGGCTGGCTCTCGGGGACCTTTTCACGCTACCCAAACACCATACCCCCATTCCCCTGAATCACCTCGCCGTTTATCCACCGTCCTGCATCGCTGGCCAAGAATGCCACAATCTGCGCAATGTCATCGGGTGTGGCGAGACGTTTGGCGGCACTCGGTAGTTGGGCAAGTTCGGCCAGCACCTCGGGCGGGTCATGGCGGTGATAGTTCGTCATCGTGGGCCCGATCGCAACCACGTTGCTGGTCAGTCTGTGGGCACTCGCTAGCTCCATGGCCCAGTACCGAGAAAGACACTCCAAGGCAGCCTTTGACGCAGCCCAGACGGCGAATGGTACATCGGGCCGCTGCGAGAGCACCGAGGAACTAACACCATTGGAGGTGGTCAGCCAAATGTCAACTGCACTGCACAACAACCTGGCAGCCGCTCTTTCGACCTACATGCTAACAATTCGACCCCCGGATGGCGGCAGTCTGGGCACCAGGGCAGTTACCAGCTCGAGCGGCGCTCGGGCATTCACTCGCATGAATCTAGTCGTGTCCCGTAGTCAGCGCGAATCTGGAAGGCATCTATCAAACAAAAGATGAGAGACAGGGCACACCGGTCGAAAAGGGAGGGATCGCTCTCAGAGGCTGGTGTCGGAGTGGGCGGATCAAGAGCTGCGTTGTTGATGAGGATGTCAATGGTTGTGACATTGAGGCCCATTAGGGCTTGGGAAATTATGCGCTGGGCGGCCCCGTCCGCAGCGAGATCTTCCTGGATGCAGATTGTCCGCACCCCGATGGCACGCAGGTCCTCGGCGAGAGCAGCCGCATTCGCTCGCTGACTATCGGAGACAAAACAGAGGGCTACATTGGCCCCACGGGTGGCCAGCACGCGGGCGATCTGCGCCCCAATGCCGCGCGAAGCTCCTGTCACCACGGCATTCTTGCGCATGAGGCTGGTGGCGTCGATGCTGGATGCACAGGCGTCAAGGTTACTACAACACTCAGGGGTGACGATGGAGAAAGGGTGCAGTACGAACTAGAGATTGGAAGGAGACGCCATCAGCGGCGATTGGCTGGCTTTTGTCTGGGTCTCGCCGAACGTGGCCGCGCAGGTCGAGACGGAAAAACAGCAGTTGCCAGACCGCTGGGCGGAGGCATTTAGATGTTTTTATACGCGTTGATTATTATTACATTGATTCTCTGCGTTCGTATCCAACGCGTCATTTTAGCGATAACATCCCCTAGATTACTGCCCGGGAAATCAGAAATGATAGCGCCACCGCACCCTGTTTCCGGCGTTACCGCACCACCGAGTATCTAAACACGCTGCACAATGTCTGCACAGCTCGGTCCCGGGCCTTCTTCGATAATGAGATGGAGTATGCGCTCGAATATCTTTATAAATTGAGAGGTTGCCTCGGGTTCCAGGATGGACAAGGCCCCAACATGTAGTGTCGTGCCGGTAACGGACTCAGTCTCGACTATAGTTAACTCGAGTGCGGCGAAGGGCCAGACCATAGCGAAGCCCGCGCTGTCCTGAACAACGCCCTGAAAGGCAGGGACGGGCACATTCGAGTCTTTGGGGCTGCTGCTCACGATGTGATTCAGCAGCACGTTTCCCCAGCGGCGCTGGCGCGGCACTCCAGGTTTGGGATCGGGTGGGGCGAGCGCTGCGTCGAGGAAATATGGATCCTCGTCCTGGATCGCCAGCCAGGCTCGCAGCGCCCCCTGAATGGTCGCTAGCACACTGCTATGGGCCCCCACCGCGACGCGCACTGGGCTGATGGAAATCAAGGCCCCTTCCATGGCTTGCGCGCCCTCCACGGTGGTCCGGTTTGCACTGAGCCTGTAATATGTGACCTCGGCGCGCGGTGGCGCGTGCGGCCGCCACCAGTCCAGCGTTCGCGCGATCGTCAGTGCTGTCACTGCGTGAAAGAGTGCCGCGGGGGTGAGGTGGTGCGCCCGGCACCAGGCGCCATAGGCGACCCCGATCAGCGTCGTCGTTTGGGGCTGAGCGGGCAGCTCCGCGTCCCGCAAGCGACGGTCGTCGGGGATCGGGGTGGCGATGGCACCCTCCAGGAAGGATTCCCAGGCTTGTTCACCATGAAGCACACGCGAGGGTACAGGAGCCTCGTCGAGCCCGTTAGCCCCATAATGATCCACCACCCAGGCTTCGATAGACGGTTTGGCCGCACGGGCATGCGCGAGACACAGGGCCGCTGATGCAGCTGGGTCGCCCTCGTCCCGCTTTACGATGGCTGTCAGGAGAGCGTGCAGATCCTGGGACAGGTTCTGGGAGATGGACTCATCCACAATGGAATGGTGGACGGTCCAGGCCAGCAAGCGGGGCTTGCTCAGAAATGCCGCGCGCCATAACGGGCGCCCAAAGACCCATGGCCGTGTCACATCCTCGCGTCGATATGTCGTCGGCTCTTGACTCTCATCATCCTGCGTAAGCTCGAAATCGATCACGGTTGGCTTCAGGATAGCCTGCACAACTTGCCCGCCGCGAATGAGATTGAACGCATCTTCGGGAGTCTTCACCTTCTGCAGATTTGTGGTCCCGTCCAGCGACACGAACACCGTCCGTAGATTAGCCTTGGCTGTCACCACCTGGCCGACTGCTTCCTGAATTTGCGAAAAGCTACACGGAAACTTTGAAAGGTCGAGGAACTGGTAAAATATCCAGAATCGGGGGTCATAGAGACTCGTTGCGAACATCTCCCGTTGGAGCAAGGTCACTGGGAACACAGCTTCATAATCCGACGATTCATACCTCAACCCAGCGGGGATCCGTGGGACGAGAACCTTGGTAACCGATTGCAGAGATCCCCTTGCCTTAGGGTGGTCGACAGTATCCTCTCCAACGATGGCGGGGATAGTCGAGGCGATGGTCCTCAGGCTCTTCGGGGTGAATAGCTCCTCGATGTTGATGTTCAACCCGTGACTGCGACACCGCCTCCGAGTTTGGAGTGCCAATAACGAGGTCCCTCCGTTTGCAATGAACGAGAGAGATTCCATGTGGTCTCGGACCTGCGCGGGAGGACGATCGGGGTTTCCACCCGTCAATACCTCAAGGACCAGAGCTAGAAACAGGAGGCCGCCCGGGGAGAGGGTGCTTCCCGGTGCCTCTTTCACTGCAACCCCCGCCCGACTGGTTTCTGCTTCTTGGTTGATGCGTGCTTGCGCAAGCAGAAAAAGTGCCTTCGTGTCCGTCTTGGCCGATGGCGTTTCGGGAAATGTTTCAAACTGCAGCCATCGATGGGGCCTCATGTATGCAGGCAATTGGGCGCTGCACGCGTGGTCTGCTGCCACCACGAATTCCTGCCACCCAGCAGTGGCCGATTCTCCCTGCTCCCCATCGCTGCCAGCGCTCTGCTGCAGCATCACACAACAAATTGAAATCGGCCTGCCCGCCGCGGACTGGGCAAGCATGACGCGGCTTTTGATTACGTACGGCACTTGGTTGACGATGGCCTCGACCTCCTCCGGCTGGATCCGGTTTCCATCAATCTTGAACTGAAAATCGACTCGACCGAGGAGAATAAAGATACCAGAAGCGATGAACATGCCGAGATCCCCGGTTCGATATATCCAGGCGTGCCCCGCATCGCCGGGGAAGGGATGAGGCTGAAACACCTGCCTTGTCGCTTCGGAACGCCCAATATACCCGGCACTCATGTAGGTCGAGCTGAGGCAGATTTCGCCAGGAACATATAACGGACACAGTCTGGCCGTGCCGGGTTGTAGGATGTATAGTGAATAGTCAGACGTGGGAAGGGGATGGCCAGGCGGGAGACACCCTGTGCTGCGGCAAGTCTCAGCGCGAGTGTCTTTGTGTGCGAAGATGTCACCGGTAAGAGAACGAATGTGGAGTACTTACGAATCGTCATGAAATGGCAGCGCATGGGAGTTCATCTCCGTAGCTCCATAGCCGATCAACAACGAGACATGCCGGCTCCATGTCTGGGCCAGGGTCCGCGGCACCGTTTCGCCGACTAAAGAAATGGTTTTCAGGGATGGCACAGCATCCGGGGTGGTGAGCGCGAGAGCTGAGGGCGTGATGCACACATCCTCAATGCCATACCGGGCCACGCAGCCCGCTAAATCCGTCGTGATCTCCTCCAAGGGAGGTATGCAGACACAGCCGCCGTTACTGAGGAAGCTCCAGATTGGCGTCCCTGAGGCAGAAGAGATCGGATTGAAGAATAGTAGTGTTTTGGACGCCCGAATCCGACCGGCGTAGCTGGCAATGGAGGCCCCAAAAGCAGCATGACTGTGCAGACAGCATTTGGGCCTTCCCGTGGAGCCCGATGTGACCCGAATCCATGCGGGTCGGAACAGATCCTGCGAGAGATCGACCTCGGATCCCGCATAGTTCTCTGGGGGTATGGGGCATGCGTTTGCTTGCCGGCGCAGCTGCCCAAAGTCATACTGCCAGGCAATGTCCGGAGCCAGTTCGCCGGTCCAGGAATCGTCCACCACAACCAGAGCGCAGTCGCAGTCTTCCAGTATGTGGCCATTTCGGGAAACAGGTTGGTTCGGGTCGACCAGGACAATGGCACAGCGAGCCTTCCAGCATGCCAGGATCGTGATGATGACTGCGGGGGATCGCTGCAACATGATCCCAATGATCAGGCCTTCTTCCGTCGCTAGACCCGTTGCCAGGGGCCGGGCTGGGATAGCCATCAGCCGTTGGGTCAAGTCAGCAGCCATCAGGTCCGTCATCTGATCTAACATCCAGTAAGAGATAATCTCGCTATCCCGGCCCTCTATAGCGGGGTGAGATGGGGTTTTCCGGGCCTGACGGCGGACGAGTTGGTGTACCGGTCCTACTCTCATTTCGGTTACGCTTCGCCCCGGAAGACTGTGCCGGCGCAACTGCAGCTCTTCATGCAGAGAGACCATGGAGATGTCGCGGAGTAAGAGAGTGGTCCAGCTGCGGTGGTGTACGATGTGGCGTAAGAGGTGCAAGCCGTGGTCGATTAGCTTTCTGGTATAATGCGCCGAGAGCCAGCGTGGGTAGTGGCAAATCGCCTGGATTGTTCTGTATCGTTGGGAAAAGAGCTGGATGGTCAACTCCGAGGTCATTCCAGGGGGACGGGGCAATTCAGCCACTGGGCGTGAATATAACACCGCCACACAATGTGGTGAAGCTTTAACGGATGGATCCTCATCCGTGTCGATGTTCAACCCAGATTGGAGCAAGTCCAGGAATGAGGAGCCCTCGTCGATAGAAGCATCAACGTGGACCCAAGGGCTCGACCTGCTCCCCTTTTCCGCCGCCTTGGAGGTCTCACATGCGGTCCAAATGTTCGACGTACCGTGAGCAGTGTGACGACTCAAAATAATGCACCAAGCAGCACAGCAGACGTGCCATGCAGGGGTGTTGTGCGCGGCTGCGGTGCGGACGATATCGTCAACATCAAAGCCGTGGAGATCGTGGTGCAAGACATTCTGCTTTTGGGGCTGTGTACAGAGACCTTGAACCTCGGAGGCATAGTACTCTTTTAGGGCCTGGGGAAACATGTTTCAACTGAGCTATCTGAACGAGATTCGGTTCAGGATGTGGTGGCCTATAAGTCCATCGCCGGAGCCAAACGACTCGCTCGGTAAATCAAGCATGCCTCTAGTTATAGAGCATTCGCAGGCACGACGCACTGGCAACGGCCAGATTGCCTTTTTCCCCTCCAATCAGCAGTTTGCAGGGTAGCAGGGTAAGAAAACACATGTAGAACCGAGTGAAGACCGTGGTCGGACAATGACCCACCGGCATAGGGCCGACGCCCGCGCCATGCGTAGCAAGCTTATGAGGACCTACCAGTGTCTGGCGATGGACAGACGGACAACCAACCCAACCAACCGCCTGAGACCCGAGCAACTGATGACGCAAACTAAACCTCTCTTAGGCAGATCCGATCCCCGAGCCAATTTTGATCGGGTCATTGTCATTCCCCCACCCCCGTTCTGGACCATGGAACGAGGGGGTGTGGAAATCAATCAACATCGTGACGATGGGCTCACGACTCCAATGCACTTTTTCCGATCCTCAGAAGACTGTAAGACGACGCCCATCTGGTAAATTACGTAGCGCATTAGTATACAAGCCACTAGAAATCTCCCAGTGGGCCTACTTTCTTAGGGTCGCTGTGTTTCTTTCCTGCCTTCCGTCTTCTACTACATCTTTCCCCACGACACAATGACCGGCACCACCGATGACCTGCCTAATATCTCTAACCATCCGCCAGAGAGCGGTTTTCAAATGGGAGGTGAGCTTTTTCACGTGAGAACCCGACCTTCCACATTGATCCAAGCCCAGGCTCGACTGCATCCATCGCGGGTGTGCCTCGTCGCGAGTTCCGGAGAGTACGATTTCGACCGCCTCTGGAGCTCAGTGCAGGCAAGCGCCAGTCAGCTGCTACAACAAAACCTGTCTCTGGGGGCCCGCGTGGCCATCGTGGCAGAGTCCTCGCCCATCGCCATTGTGGCCCTCCTGGCTGTCCTTCACCTCGGTGCTGTGGCGGCCCCCCTCAATGCCTCGCTGCCCACTGCGCGGATTCACAGCATCATCCGCACCGGCAGGTTCACTCATCTAATTGATCTATCCTCTCGTTCCCCAGATTTCGACCTTCCAGGGGTGATCAATCTTGCTTTGGACCTGAGCCATCCGACGTGCAAGTCCCAGGCAGCGCGGAATTACTTCCCGGAGGTTGATCCCCAGGCACCTGCCATCGTCCTTTTCACGTCCGGCAGCACGGGAGAACCGAAAGGCGTCGTTCATAGCCATCTGAGTTTGAGTACAATGGCCGTGAACGTGGCCAAGGCCTTGGAAATCGACTCCACCGTACGTAATTTCCTCTTTCCTTCTTTCGGCTGGGCCGTAAACATCATCGATTCTCTTTCGACCCTGGTGGCAGGGGGATGTCTTTGCATCCCCACCGAGGCCGAAAAGTCCCACAGCCTGGAGGAGGCCATTTCGCAGTTCAATGCCACCCGAACCACCCTGCCTTCGTCCGCCTTACGGATCATGAACCCCAGCACTGTCCCGTCCTTGACTCGCGTCGTGCTCGCCGGCGAACCCATACGCTCAGACGTAGCGTCGATCTGGTTGCCCCACGCGAAGGTCTATTGGAACTACGGTTCTTCGGAGACGCTGATGGTCCTCGCCGGGGTGGTCGGCGAGCAGAACCCCGGGCCGCTAAACGCCGGTCGTCCGCTGGCCTGCTGTCGATGTTCGATCGTAGACGAGGCACGCTTAGATGTCCCGACAGGCCATTCAGGCCAGCTCGTTGTCGAAAGCCATACCAACTTCATGGGTTACCTGCGAAACGGCAAAGTCGATGCACCTAACGACCAACCGATCGGCCACCCCGTGGTGGTCCATTCGGGGGACCTTTTCAGTCAGGCGGGGCCAAATGCGGTTTTAGTGCATCACGGACGCATTGATTCACAATTGAAGATTGCGGGCCAGCGCTTTGAGCCGCAGGAGGTGGAGGAGAAGCTGCTCCTGGCGCTAGCTGACGTGAAGGAGCTGGCCGTTACTGTAGCGACCCTGAAGGGCAACTCCGAAGGACCAGTCCTCGTGGTCGTTGTGGTGCTCGAGCGCAAGGAAACGAGCGAGTCCTCGTCTGAGGCCCGACTGCACTGCGCCTTTGAGTGGCTCGTTCAGACGCTGCCCCGCTACATGATACCCATCGGGGGCTTGGAGGTTGAAAAGCTTCCCCGGCTGCATAACGGCAAGCTGAATCGAAAAGGCATTATTCACCTAGCAGAGCAACAAGCAGTATCTGACCTGATGGACCTGCGACCTCCGCGTGGGGCGGACTCTCGCGATCTGGACCCTATCTTGGTCCGCAGGGTCGCCCAGGTTTGGGCAAGCGTGCTGGCTATTGAGCTAACAGAGATCAAGCCTACATTAAGCTTTTTTCTCCTGGGTGGCAACTCGCTTTCCGCGATGCGAGCGTGCAAGGAGCTGCGGCACGAGGGTATACTCCTTTCGATGTCCGACTTGTTCCTGCATCCCACCTTGACTGAGCTAGTAGACTTCATCATGAAGCACAACAAAACGATGTCATTGACGGAGCCTAGCCACACAAAACGGAGCACGGAATTTGAAAGCACGGCCAAAGATGTTCCCCAAGAACTTCTGCTGAGGGCAGCCAGGGACTGTGCCGTCGATCCAAAGACGATTGAGGATATCTACCCTTGTACAGCGCTGCAGACAGGACTTATGGCTCTGAGTGAGATTCACGCAGGGGCGTATGTGGCGGAACATGCCTTCCATTTGCCAGTCTCCTGGACCGTGGCAGCCTTCCAAGAGGCCTGGCTCCGAGTACTCGCGGTGACGCCTATTCTGCGCACCCGCATCATTCGAGATCCCAACGGCAGGTCGCACAATGTCACCCTGCAGGCGTCAGCGGACCCAGGAATAGCTGTTCTGCAAGGGGTATTGCCGGTCTTTATTCCTCCCATGAGCTGCGGGTCGCCCCTGTTCTGTCACTCTCTGGACACAGACCCAGAGCATGAGAGGTTAATCTGGCGTTGGCGCGTACATCATGCCATCTACGACCGCTGGTCCACCCATTTGATTCTGGATTTGATGCAAAAAATGTACAGGGAGGAGACTCCGAGCCCTTTGACTCCGTTCTCCCGATTCGCCCGTGCCGCGGTTGAACAGGAGAGCTCCGAAGCCGCGATCAGCTTCTGGCGAAACAGGTTCGAATCATTCAGTGGGACGGTCTTTCCTCAGCTGCCCCTAGATCATGGGAAGTCTCGTGCCTCGGATCATCTCCCCTTCGAAATCTCCATCCCGCCGCGACGATCCGCGACCACGCAGGCTACCACAATCCAAGGGGCGTTGGCACTGCTGATCTCCAAAGTTCATGGCGAGTCGAATGTGATATTCGGTACCACTAATCACGGAAGGGCCCTAGCGGGTTGCCCAGACGCAGAGACAGTGGTGGGACCTGCCATTGCCACGGTCCCAATGCGCATCCAAGTGGAGGGAGCCACCTCAGTGGCGCAGTTTCTCGACGACTTGCAAACTCAAGCAGCACTCGTGTCAGACTATGAGCATTATGGACTGCAGAACATTAAGGCGCTAGGGCCTGGGCCGGCGGCGGCTGCCTCCTTCACCACTCTCCTGATTATCCAGCCGGAGATGGATGGAGGTGAACCGGATCCGCTCCACATGATCCACGAGATCGAGCTCGGAACCGCAGATGGCTACGTGGACTACCCTCTGGTTGTCGAGTGCTTTCCAAAAGCCCAGATTCTCCGGGTCAAGCTGTTGTATGACCCGGTGGTCTTCTCCTCGTGGGAGATGCAGATGATGGCTCGGCAATTCAAGCACGCTTTTGACGCCCTACACACCACACAGGATCCGACGACATTACTCCGCGACCTGAGTCTCCTGGATAAGGAGAGCGTGCCCACTGTCCTCCGCATGAGCCGCGGCGAATTGATTGACCACCGCGAGTGCCTCCATGAACGAATCTTTGCCAAAGCGCACGCTTGGCCGGATTCCGAAGCCCTTCACGGGTGGGACACGAAGTACACCTACGAGGAGCTTCGGAGGCTGGTCCGGCGCCTGACCTTGCGGCTCGCGCCCTTGCTACCCTGTAAGCCAGGGCAGATTGTCCCCATCTGCTACCCTAAGTCTGCCGCGGCCGTCGTGGCTATGCTGAGCATCCTGACAGCAGGCCACGCCTTCCTCCTGCTGGACCCCGCACTACCACCGCAGCGCATCCGGTATATGATCCAGGCGGCCAAGGCGGACCGCGTGCTCTGCACGTCTGCAACCCACCATCTGGTGGCTGACATGGGTCCCCAGGTGGTGAATCTCCAGAGCATCTGGGACACTCCGTCCGTGGCGCCGGACGATGGTTTCTTCGAGCTGCAGACGTCGCCAGACCGCCCGGCCTACTGCATCTTCACCTCCGGGTCAACGGGGGCCCCCAAGGGAGTGGTGTTGCTCCACCGACAGGTCACCAGCGGGCTCGAAAGTCAGATAACAGTCGGGCTTTACAAGCGCCAAACCCGCCTGCTGCAGTTCGCAAGCTACAGCTTTGATACGTGCATTGCCGACATCTTCGCGACCCTCCTGAGTGGGGGTTGCGTCTGCGTCCCACAAGATGAGGACCGTCTGTTACGGCTGGCTGACAATATCAACGCATTTGCCGCCACGGCCGTCGACATGACGCCATCCGTTGCCAGGATGCTCCAACCGCACGAGGTGCCCAATTTGCAAGTGCTGCGCCTTGGTGGTGAGCCGATGCATCAATACCACGTCCAGACCTGGGCAAATCGCTGCAATCTCCAGAACACCTACGGTCCCACCGAATGTTGCGTGCAGTGCACGTTCGTTGACCGGGTGCCCGAGTCCTTGTCGCCAGCTGTCATCGGCAAGAGCATTGGGTGTCACCTCTGGGTTGTTGACCCGCAAAATCACAAGTTCCTCATGCCGCTGGGTATGGTGGGCGAACTGGCAATTCAGGGTCCCGCGGTGGCTGATGGCTATATCAACAACCCGGCTAAGACGGAGGAGCTGTTTCTCCCCCATGCCCCGTGGCTCGACACCTATGGTATTGATTGTCTTTACCCAGTCTACTTGACAGGCGATTTGGTTCGATTTAACGAGCAGGGCGACTTAGTCTTTCTCGGCCGCAGGGATAGCCAGATCAAGATCCGGGGCCAGCGCGTCGAGCCGGAAGAAATCGAGCACGTCCTACAGCAGGATGAGAGGATGGACCAAGCTCTGGTTTGCTATCCCACCACAGGCGTGCTCGCGATGCAACTAGTCGCTGTCCTTGAGCCCTCGCCTGCCGCCGCCAGACTGCGCGCGCAAGATCAGCCGGGGGCGTGGATGGAGCCCATCGCCCGTAAGGCTGCCGAGTTCTTGCCACTGCACATGGTGCCCGCAGTGTTTCTAGTAGCCGGCCAGAGTTTATTGATGTCATCCGGCAAATTGAATCGTCGCAGTGTACAGACATGGCTGGAACGGCTGGCGCTGGAGGAGCTCGAAGCCTTGCATTTGTATCATCCCGCCTCAGCGAGGCCCCACTATGCGAAGTCCACCGAAACAGTCGCCGACCTGCCAGACGCCCTGACAGCACCCATTCTCAACCAGATCCAGTCTCTTCTCGCATGGAGATCGCATATCGGCCGTCAAGCCGCCACAGATCTTTCCCTTGTCCATTCCTTCTCTCGTATTGGGCTGGATTCAATCACCATTATTCCGTTCCTTCGGTGGATCAACCAGACCCACTCCGTCCAATTGGACGTGCCCAGTCTCCTGCAACTTGATAGCGTGCAGGGACTCGTCTCCTATCTCAGAAGTCGGCAGGCAAGCCTCCCGGCCAAGCAGAAGAACCGCAGCGATGAGAGGACGGACGACCCCGAGACCTTCGAACCCATGATCCGTCAAGGGGTGGACCGGCTCTGCCAGAAGAAGCATCCCATTGTTTTGGAGCGCGAGCTGTCCAAGAAGACCCCCTTAAGCCGACTGGTCGGCAGGGTGGCCGGGTCGCAGATGACTCTGGTGCGACGTCTTTCTCGCCGCATCAGCTCGCGATTCGAGCCCCGCCGCGTGTTATTGACCGGGGGCACCAGCCTTGTCGGATTAAACATTCTCACCCGCCTGCTCGAGCGCTTTCCACGGACGCGGGTTGTGGTCCTAGTGCGCTGCGAAAGGGCCGACGAGGGCAAGGCCCGGCTTCTTGAGCGCGCCAGCCTCCTGCGGTCCTGGCGTCGCGACTTCACTTCCCGCATCGAGGTTTGGCCCGGCGATCTGAGCGCGACGCGGCTGGGGCTACTGCCGGCGCAATGGGACTCGCAGCTAGGCGGACGAGGGGGTAACGCATCCAACTACGTAGACGCAGTTATCCACAACGGGGCTGTGGTCGACTGGTTCGCGAGCTTTGCGACACTTCAGGCAACGAACATTGACGCGACGCTGCAACTTACCGAATGCGTGCGAGACGCCACCGCTATCACTCGACTTGTGTACGTGTCCGGTGGGCCACAGTGGATGCCAGACGAACCCGACACTGCGGCGTTGGAGCCGGTGACGGGGGAAAGCTCTGTGCAGCACCTCCACTCCAGCCTCGCCCAGTCCAATCCCTACGGCTGTACGAAGCTGATCACCGGGGCAATACTGCAACGCGCCGCCGCCCGCAGCATGGATTTAGCCAGCAAGGTGGCCGTGCTCCGCCCAGCACTTATCATCGGTGCTGCTGCCGATGGGGTGGTCAACATGGACGACTTCCTCTGGCGTGTGGTCCGCGGCTGCTGTGCCCTAGGGGCATTTCCACGCGAGGACCCGGCGGAAGACTGGATCTACCTCTGCGGCGCGGACTACTTTGCCGACCTGATCATCTCCCAGTTGACGGCCGCGCTGCGCCCCGGGGAGATTAAGGTCCATGCCGGCCTGACAGCCAGTCGCTTTTGGGCCATCGTGCAGCAGGAACTTGGGGTCTCTATGGAGGCCTTGGACGTCCCGACCTGGTTACACCGGCTGAGACGGAGCATTGCCGCGCAGACCACTCATCACCATTCCGCTACTCAAGTCCATCCCTGTCAGCCGATTCTGCATATGCTTGAGGGCTCCTGGTCTGGCCCGCTGGGCGCGGCCCGGCCTCGAATCTGTGCGGATACAGACCGGCGTCGCCGGATGGAGGCGGAAGCGGCCCGCGTGGTGACGATGAATGTGCGGTACATGCACAAGATCGGCTCCTTCTCTACTGCTGAAGAGGCCTGGTCGGATCAGGTTTTCCACCGAAATAAAACACGGTAGAGAAGCACGATGCGCTATAAACTGCTCCTGCATACAATCTTGGCTGGTCCTAAGAACAGGCTATTGGGGGGGGGAGGTTAAGCACCGGAGCGAGATTTGAGCTCACCATCATTAGATATAATCAAAATTCCCCTTATCCCCTGTTGCTACTAGCCTTATTCTTAATTTAGATCATATAATAAGATCCGCAACTCTTCCGTCAGCTATTCTCATTGTTGGACCTCCTGGGCATATGTCACTCTTAGCCACGTAGTATCGCGGGGCTTTGTCCACATCCCATCATATTATTCACCAATCTACTTGGTATGAAACTATAGATGGTTTTGGTGCTTGGAATCAGAAAACTGATCGACTGGTTCGCTCGACTCTGCCGAGCTTGTCAAATGTCGGGTAGGAAATATAGTTTGCGCTCTTCCGCCCGTTAAGTGATTCTTGATGCGGACTTGGCACGGAGTTCTTCCTGGAGGGCAGGATGTTCGGAGACTTGGATATTGACGTCTTCGGGGCTCGGACAACCCTAAGTGGTTCTCAGCCGGGTCGCCAGATCCCAGATAAAACCAGATAAAAGTCCACAGCGACAACCCAGGAATACATGCCCCTTACGTAGCGAGGCCTTTTTTCGTCCATTTTTTTCCAAACAGAACCAGTAGTCTCCTTGAAATGGCTTTCGGAACCATCTATACTCACAACGTATTGGCTCTTCCCCCCCCCCTCCCCCCATCCTGTTCCAACTGAAGTTCAACCAGAACTAATCCACCTCATCCCAGCCGAATCCCCGCTCGACCGCAATCCTCGCCGTCGCCCGGGCGCAGGGAATCGAACTGGACATCGTGTACGCCGACAAGACCGAGAACCCGGAGAACTATGCGAGACTCCTCCAGGTCAACCCGCTGGGCCAAGTTCCAACCCTGGTCGGGAATGACGGCCACGTGCTGACCGAGTGTATCGCGATCGCGCTGTACATCACGGGCCAGAGTGACACGACCATGCTGCTGGGCGCCACGCGGCGCGAATTCTACGAGATCGTCAAATGGATGTCGCTGGTGAACGCGGACCTGCTGCCCGCTGTCGGGGCGCTTATTCTGCCCTTGCTCGGCAAAGGGAAGCCGGTCAATGGGCCCCAAGACCGCGGCGACTGCCTGCGCATCATCCGTCGTGACTGCCGCTTGCTGGACGACCATCTCCGGCAGCCCCAGCACCGCTACCTCGTCGGCGCCCAGATGACGCTGGCTGATCTATTTGTTGTCGGCATGCTTTTCGGCGCCGTCATGGTCCTCCACCCCTTGCTGCGCGCAGACTACCCCCGCTTCTGGGAGTGGTATTATGAGGTCTACGAGACGCCAATGTTCAAGTCCGTGGCGGGCGAGTTGCGCTTGCTGGATATTCCCATGGCGACGGTGACAGGCGAGGCGGCCGAGTAGAGATATTTTGCTTTCGCCTGGATTGACGCTGGTGGTGAAGAGTGATCTTCCACTCGTAAAAGGACATACCTACAGGACTGACAGGTAATGAGAAATTGAGGCATCCGGATGGGCTTTTGACCACGAACATAGAACATTCTTTCATAACGATAGAGTCCTCTGTTTAGGAGTTTTGAGTGTATCTGCTGGACACGGACTTCGTTGCAACAGCATGCAGATTGTAATGGTACATCATTTTCTTCGACGTGGTAATGGAGAGATACAAGGCAAAATACCCAATACACAGAAGAACAAAAGCAGTTGCAAATGAATTATTCTCAGTTCTTGACAGCGCGGTCGGGACCTCAGCCTTGTTTTTGCCCAATTTTACCCACAGGACAAGGGTGTTGAGTTTTACACGGGCCACAGAAGATATGCCCCGATTTCACCAGTTTCTCTGTCTCTGTGGGATCGAAAATCAGGGACGGTCTAGGTTCCCAGAGCGGGGGTACAAGGCAAGGAAGATGGGCGAGATCTTTAAATCGAAAGCAAAATAGTGAATCTTAGAATGTATTTCTTTCGCGAAAGACCTGCGCCAGAGACTTTTTGCTCCCCGATCTCAGGCTGCTCCTCCATCCACCGTCAAGGACTTTCCATTAACCCATTCACCCTCCTTGCTAGCCAGAAAGCACACCACGCGTGCAATGTCCAAGGGAAATCCATTCCGCATCAAAGGTGAAGCATGAGCGGCCATCTGGAAAACAATCAATAAAAGAAAAGAGAGAGAGTGCGCGAAGGAGTCGGATCGACCATACCTGTTGCCGCTCCTCGGCGGTATACTTCTCGCCATTCGGGATGTAGTGGTGGGAAACCGCGTGGAACATGTCGGTGACCGTGCCGCCGGGGGCCACGGCGTTGACAGTGATCTTTTTATCACCGCAGTCCTTGGCGAAGACACGCACGAAGGAGTCAATTGCTCCCTTGGAGCCAGAGTAGAGGGAGTGCTTGGGGACACTGAAGTCGTGGGCAGTGTTGGAAGACATGAGGATAATGCGACCGCCCTCGTTCAGGTGGCGGTAGGCCTCGCGGGCGACGAAGAACTGGCCGCGCGTATTGAGGCTGAACACGCGATCGAACTCCTCCTCGGTGACCTCTCCCAGGTGACCGAAGCTGACGACTCCGGCGTTGCTACACACAATGTCCAGCCCACCAAAGTGCGCCACGGCTTCGTCCATCAGCCTCACCGTCTGCGACACCTCCCGCACGTCCGCTTGGATCGCGATCGCTGCCGACCCCAGGCTCTGGATCTCCGCCACGACCTTCTCTGCTGCTGCCGACGAGTTCGCGTAGTTTACCACCACGCTGGCGCCCAGGCGGCCCAGTTCAACCGCGATCGCCGCGCCAATCCCCCGGCCAGAGCCAGTAACCAAAGCGACCTGCCCGGCGAGGCAGTAGGGAGCAGAAGAGACAGTCATTGTGTGATATGTCCGAAGTGACGGAATTTATGTGGAGTGTTGCGAATTTGTGAGGAGTGAGGAAGATGTGCTTGTAAGATGGACAATTTCTGGTTTGGGGCTTCCATTTCCCACCTCTCCTTATACGTCGTCGGCTCAGCCGGGGGGGGGGGAGCATATGACTCTCTTCGAAGGTTGAATATCACACCTCCATGCGGACTTCATTAGATTTCCATTCGATATCCAGAGGAAGATATTTCCCATCCAAACAAAGATCGGGGAAGCATTCGGGGAAGGTAAAGAAGGGTGGTCCTCCGAACGAGAGACTGAGTGGGACTCGGGCGTCGCGGGGGGTTCGGGCTCAGCGCTTGCCCCGAGGCCCGACACTCCGGCAACCCGCTATCCTCTCATGTCACGAACTTCAGATCATGGCACAATGCTTTCTGTTTATTACTTCTTCGTACTCGGTGGAGCTTCAAGTATCAGGATTCTGTAAAGACGTGATTGCATAAGCCGGGTGCTATGGGACGGAAGACAACCACGACAATTCAACACAACACCGCACATATACAAGCAAGCATTCGTCATGTTTGCTTACTTAGAGGGATTTGAGACGTCTCTGGCTCGCACTGTCAGTTTGGCAGGGCTGGTGCTGGTGACTGCAGCACTTCTGCCCATCATCGTCAGCGTCGTCTACAATCTGTTCTTCCACCCATTGCGTGCATACCCAGGTCCGCTGTTGTGGCGCATGACTAGCCTGCCATGGTGTTATCACCAGATAAAAGGCGATCGAACCCAACTTCAAGCTCAGATGCACTGGCGGTATGGAGACGTGGTACGCATCCGGCCTAACGAGCTGAGCTATACGAGCTATCAAGCCTGGGATGACATCTTCGTCCATCATCCCAACCGGCCCGAATTCCCCAAAGATCCTCGTCGTCAACGCCGGAACCCGAACAAGCTCGAGGTGGCTCCTCCTCCTCCTTCTTCTTCTTGTTCTTCTTGTTCTTCTTCTTACTCTTTTCCCCAAAGGCTCTGCGTGTATCTGACTCGCTGACATTCTGAGGGATAACTTCCCTATCCATTCCTCACAGCATATACTCAGCGCTCCCAAAGCCGACCATTCTCGTTACCGCCGGCTATTGGCGGGGGCATTCTCCGAGCGTGGTCTTCGCGCTCAAGAACCGCTGATCAAACAGCATTTCGAACTGCTCCTCCAGCGCCTCACGGCGTTGGCCACTGCCGGCGAGTCTGTTGACTTCACGGAGTGGTACAACATGATAGTATTCGACGTGATCGGGGACCTGGCGTGGGGGGAGTCCTTCCATTCGCTGCGTGAAGGAAAGCTGCACGAGTGGATCCCAGCAATTGCATCCACAGTCAAGTTCGCGATGCAATCCAGTCCGCTGCTGGAGTACGGACTGGGATGGCTGATCCCCCTGTTCGTCTCGCGCACGGTGCGCGAGCAGCGCGCAGCGAATTACCGGTTCTCCGAGGCCAAGGTGGCCCAGCGTCTGCGGGTGAAGGGGGCCCGCGGCGACTTCTGGGACCGGGTGGTAATCAAAAGCGCGGACAACAACCGCACCGGCGAGGGAATGACGCGCGGCGAAATGCTTAACAATGCCAGCATCCTCGTGCTCGCCGGCTCCGAGACCAGCGCCACCACCCTCTGCGGTATGACCTACTTCCTGCTGCGCAACCCGGCCACCTATCGCCGGCTGGTCGCCGAGATCCGTGGCGCCTTCTCCGCCCGCGCTGACATCACCATGGTCTCCATCGGAAATCTGCCGTATCTCAATGCGGTGTTTCAGGAGACCGTGCGTCTGTATCCCCCAGTGCCAACGCACAGCCAACGGGTTCCGCCTAAGGGTGGTGCGCTGGTGTGCGGGCAATGGGTCCCGGACAATGTGAGTTGCGCGCCGCTCCGCTGCCTTACCCCTTTCCTCCTTCCCTCCCTCGCCCCCTCCTACACAAAGGATGACTGACTGCAGTCATTGCTGATAATGCAAAAAATGGACAAATAGACTAGCGTCGGAATTTCCATGATGGGGGCCTGCCTTGATCCGAAAAACTTCCATCGCGCGCGAGAGTTCTGCCCGGAACGCTGGCTCGAAGACGCCCCGGTTGAGTTCCATCAGGACAACAAGGCCGTCTACCAGCCATGGAGCATGGGAACACGCAACTGTCTGGGGCGTAACCTGGCACTCTTGGAAATTCGGCTGATCATGGCCAACCTGCTGTGGACCTTCGATCTGGAAATGGACCAAGATCGCATAGGAAGAAGCGCAGGTGAGTGGATCGACCAGAAGATTTGGGGGGTCTGGTTCAAGAAGCCGCTCTGGGTCTCGTTGAGTCTAGCTCGAGACCAGGTTTCATCATGATAAAGGGGCTGGAAGAAGATTGACCCCTGATATCGTTGGAAGAGAAGAAGGAGTGCAACTCTGAGTTTCCTCCAGGAGAGGAATAGTCGCGAGACTGGTGACCATGGAGCTTATTTAGATGCATTCATAGTCTCGAAGTGCCTTGAAGCTTCTATATCGATGGTATGATGTGTGGTGATGCTCTCTCTGAGACATAGAGTCAGTAATAATTTTCGATTCTTTTCTCCCAATTGGGATTGTCGCCAGAAAGCAAGGCTGTTGATATCTAGCTATGTATAGATATTCATATTCATATAGTTATGGAAAAAGGGATTGTTCAGGTCAAAGCGTAGGAACAAGTCATGCATCGGTCAGCGTTAGCTGTTTGCTTCTCCCACTTTCCTCAAAAAGTCACGTCCTCGGCCCCAACACCTCGGCTCTCTTCACCCCTCAATATAACATAAGCAATACCTCCAGAACACTCTTTGCTCCTCCCGCACCCCGAGTGCACTGAGTGAGCCGCTACTACTACTAATTCTCCTCGTCACCAGGCCCGCCTTGCTTCCCCTTGACGCTTTTCCATTCCAGTGCACATGCGCCCAAGGCGGAGAGTGCGGCCATGATGGTGCCGACGATGAACACCCAGTGCAGAGCGGTGTTATACTCCACCAGGACGGTATGCAAGTCTTTGGCCGGAACAATGCTGCGCAGATCGGTGGCGCCGGTGTTGATAATGGATTCGGGGTCGAGGTCGTCGAGGACGCGGGTCAGGCCGGCAATCAACTTACGGTCAAAAACATTCTCGCCAACGGAGACGAAGATGGCACCGCCCAGCTGCTGGCAAAAGAAGACGAGAGAGACGCCGACGGGGATGTCGCGGGGCTGGAGGACGGTCTGAACGGCGATGGCGGCGTGCTGCATGCCTAACCCGATCCCGAAGCCCAGGATAATCTGGTAGCCGATCCACATGCCGGCGCTCGTGTCAACGTGCCACGTGGAAATTAGCCCAGCGCCTAGGGGCATCAGACACGAGGAGGCAATGGTGAACGGGGTGTAGTACCCCAGCCGGCCCACCAGTTGGCCGGACAACGTGCTGCCGGCGACCAGCGAGAGCACCAGCGGCAGGGTGTCGATGCCGGACTGCACGGCGGTGCGGCCTTTGATCGCCTGCAGCCAGATGGGAAGGTAGTAGAGCAGCATCAACATCGTCGATGCCAGACAGAACATAAACCACATCGCCGCCACGACGCTGCGGTTCCCAATCACCCGCGGCTGAATCGTCGCCGTCGCCGGGGTGTACACCTCGACCATCACCCAGATTATCAGGCAGAGGCCAAACATCACGAACAGCAGGATGACGCGCCAATTTCCCCAGGCGTACTTGCTGCCACCCCACTGCAGGACTAGCAAGAGGCAGATCAACGCGGAGAAGAGAAAGAGCTCGCCGAGAAGGTCGAACTTGGCCAGCTTCTGCCGAAGGGTCAGCCCCGGATGCATCGCGGGTGTGGGCTTCAGCGCCAGAAAGATGACCAACATGGCGGCGCCCCCGATCGGCAGGTTGATGTAGAAACACCAGCGCCAGCTGACCTCACTGGTAAAGGCGCCTCCTAGCAGGGGGCCCACCACGGAGGAGGTGCCCAGTACTGCGCTGAAGAACCCGTTATACAGTGGCCGCTTGTGCAGTGGCACCGCCGACATCATCAGCACGATTGCCCCGGACATGATACCCGCACTCCCCATGCCAGCGATCGCTCGCCCCAGAATGAAGGCGAGTGAGTTGGGTGCCGTGGCGCAAATCACCGACCCGATTTCAAAGAGAAATACCAGCGCCAGGAAGACGTACTTGGCCGGGTAGAAGCCGTACACCTTGCCCCACAGGAGCTGGAAGCAGCATGCGGTTACCATGAACGCACTGCCATACCACCCGATATCGCCCAGGCTGTTGAACTCGTTGGTGATCTGAGGAATCGCGGTTGCAATGATCGTGCGGTCCTAGATGTTGTGCAGGTGTTAGCGCAGGTTGATCCTCAATCCCACAAAGTCGTCATCTCCGTAATGCGTCCAAAACATCAAACGAAAGAAGGCTCCTCACCAGCGACATGATAAATATGGCACACAGGATACAGATCATGATGAGGGCGACCTGTAGAGGCCCAGGATATTCGGCTTCAGGCGAGTCGGCCGACTCTTTAGGACTCGAGGGGCTTCTCTCCAACTTGCTCCCCTGCGACACCTCGGCCTCTGCGGTGTCCTTGAAGTCCTTTGCCTGGTCGCCGGCGGGGACATCTTTGCTGGTCATTGCTATATTGGAGGGGTGAGCGAATGCCATGAAGGTAGAGGTAATAATTGACTCGATTCTCTTGCTGAGCTGTGGCTACTCCCGACGCATCCACAGACTCTATGGGCAAGAAATTAGGACTGTGGTGGATACAAGAAACAATCACGGGTCAAACGAAAGTAATCAACACCCAGCCGGCAGCAAGAACACTCGAAGAATAATATAATTGTACGGGTGCAGGTGCACAGGGGGAGAAGAGAGAACGGCATCAAGAAAGGGCGTAGGGAGGCAAGGAGCAGAGACGCAAATCACCAACCAGCGTCGGGATTCGGGGCGTCGGCAGGCCCACTGGTGGGATCGGAGTCCGATGTCCTGCCCGACAAAAAGCAAGCTAAAACCTGTCACATGTGATTCGATAACTTGAGATCTGTAATGTGCGCTATTCACAGGCGGATCCGGCTGCAGCGTTGGTGTTGACACTTTCGGGGGCGGAGGGCGGCGTGGACGTAGATACTGGGTGTGCACACATCCCTCTCTGGTCACAAGAATTACAGCTCGCCAAAGCGCTTACAAGCAGCCACAAGCTACTTGGTGCCTCTGTTTCCTCACGCTAATGACTTATTTGGAGATGATGAGGCCCGCGGTTGGCTAGAGATAAGAGCAGGCTCTGCCCCTCCTAATCAGCAAGACCAGCCTATTGGTGGTGTGATTTAAGGAGCTATGTAACCTAATCTATTCTGCCAGGAGCACAAACAAGCATCGCAGAACTCCGGCCAAATAGAAGCTTCTTCCTTGAACCCGAGCTTGATTGGCCGGGTGTTTTCAAAGTCAGGTGATTGATGTTCAGATCCTGATTTGGATGGAGTATAAAGCAGCTTGGAATAATTCTTCGTTTCTGTGTGTGTTCGGTGAAACTGACTCGACAGCTACGGCGGACGATTGTGGTCATCCAACAGGTGAGTTTTTGCTCGGTGTTCTGCCGGCAGAACGAATGCGTTATTCTAGCTAGATTACTGAAGTATATGTATAGGGTACTGTCTGGGGTGATTGAGATGAGTATGAACTTACAGAGAGAGAGTGTGTGTATATGTGAGTGTTCATATACTGACCCCTCGCCTTAGGTAGTATTCAGATGTTTAATATCTCTAGTTGCTATATATACTTTTTTCTCCCTAACTATTGCTTTTCTCAATAAACATAAAGCCTAGAATTATATTCTACAGTACAGAGTTTATTTTATTTTTATTATTTTTTATATTGTTCTTTTTATTGCTATAGCTTTTTAAATAAAAATAAGTAGCTATTTACTACTATCTTTATTGTTTCTACTATCTAAAACTTCAAGTTTTTTATATAGGTTTTAAAATTAAAAAATTTTTATCACTTTTATTAAATACTAAAAAATCCATTTTGTGTTCATTTACTCTGCTTGCATCTATTTAAGCCTACTGATATTTACTGTCTGTAGGTCGCCTGTGTTTAGTGTTATTCTTATCTAATAAGTTTTACTATCCGCGTCTTAAACTTGCCTGCTGTTCTATCTATAGCCTATCTATATTTAGAACTACTTATACTTAATATTTACAATTCTAAAATTAAATAATTAAATAAATATGTCACACTGGCAGGTCACCTGGGTATCAAAGCCCTAAGCCCTAGCCTTCTTAATCCAGCTAACTAAATAAAAGCTATTATTCTAGTTTATCTTGTTTATTCTATTCCTGTATTCTTACTTCTATATTTGTTAAATATCTTGATTTTCTATTTAAGAATCAGTAAACAAAGAGATTTAAATTAAATAGCCTTTTATTTTCTATTATTTTTTTAAGTTGGTTTAATAAATTTAATTAATCTTAGTATATATTGAATTTATAATTCTAATTATTTTTTTATTTATCTAATCTTTAATTCTTGTTAAATTTTTTATTTTTTATTTTAAAATTATTTTTATCTTACTTCTATGTATAATTTATATAGTAAAATAAAATTTAATTAAAACTTATCTAAAAAAACTAAATTTATGATTATTATAAGTCTTATAAATTTTTTATTTTAATTTATTTTATATTTTTATATTAAATAAATAATTAAAACTATTAAACTGACTCCAGTTAGATATATTTAATATAAATAATTAGATTACTTAGTAATCTAATAAGATGTTTTAGTTAAATTACTCAAATAATTAGATTGTAGAAATTAGTTAAATTAAGTTATTAATTATTTATAAAAATATATAAAATTTAGTAAATTTGAAACTATTAACCAAGCCCCTTTATCTAATTTAGTTTTGTTTTATTAATATTAAATAAATTAAAAAATTAGTAAATATGAAAATCGATCTTATTAAATCAGACCACCTGTTATTTTAGAAAGCTAAGCAGAACTACTACTAAAATCTTAAAGAATTTGATAATACCGTATTAGAACTAGCCTCTTTGAGTCTATTAATCAATTGCATATTAAGCAGGCAGAATTAATATACTATACTCAATATGGAAAAGCCCTATCAAATCCTTCGAGCCCCAGGAACCGATTTGTATAAAAAAGTAAAAGTTAATTGAACCTTATCTGAAAGAACTAAGTCTCTAACAGTTATAAGCCCGGTAGATCTCTTATTTTGATTTATTTAATATCCTTTTATTAAATAGATAATCAAAACTATTAATCTAACTATAGTTAGAGTTATTTAATATAAATAATCGGATTATTTAATAGTCTAATAAAATATCTTATCTAAATCAGTCAGATAACTGGATTCTATAAATCAATCAAATTCAGCTATCTCTACTATTATTATTGCCTTCGACACCTCGAGCCTTCAAGGCTTGGCTTGTTGTAGTATTGCTCTTTCTTACTGCTTCGGAAAGACAACCTTATATATATATCAGAACAGCTAAATAAATAAAATAATTATTTATCTATTAAGAATTAATTACTTTCTTTAAGCTATTAAAACTAATATTAATGGTATATTCTACTATAATTCTTAGTTCATTTAAGAATTGGTTAATCGAATAAACTACTAATATAGTATTTTTGCCACGGTGCGGGCTGGCGTCTGGTTCTTAGTCAGACTAGATAGTAGGAATAATAGTACGGGCTGGATAATTCTTTATAACTGATTTTCTAGAATTTTTACTAGCTACTAAATTAAACTATTTTTAGATTTATAAATAAGATATAGCTCGAAGAGCTATAAACAGAATTAGAAATTAATAAAAAATTAAAAAAAATTATAAATTATATACAGAATAGTTAGATTACTAAAAAGAATATAGTTAAATAGATTAAACAGATCAAATAGATTAAATAAATTAAATAAATTAAACAAATAGACTGGATAGATAGAATTAAAGAAATAAAATCAGTATTCTAAATTTATATTATAATAATATATTTTTTTATGAAACTATATTCTATTAAAATGTAGATTATAGCTTATTAAAATAATAATAATAAAAGTTTTTTATAATCTAATAAATATTTTTTAAATATTTAGCTGGTTTAACTATTAGATTTAGATATTTATTTTATTTTATTATATATATTAGTCGGGGGCGGCCGCAATCTTTATAATTTTATATTAAATTTAGAATATTTTTAATTTTTTAATTTTTTAGTTTATTAATTTTTATATATAGTAGTAGAAATTAGTATTAATCTAGAACTAATTTTTTATTAGTAGAAATAAGCAGGCTAATATTAAATATAAAATATATTTTTATATTAAAAAATAAAACTAGTCGATAGATATATAAAATAATAATTTTTTTAATTTTATATAGTTTTAGAGTATTCTAAATAAATTTTCTATTAAATCTTTGTATTTTAATATTATGAATATCTAATTATATTTTTTAATTGTTTCTAAATCTTTTTGCGGGTTTATATAATTAATTTGCATATTTTATATATCAAACTTAAATAATAGATATCTCTGTTTTAGTAAATTTTATAATAGCTTATGTTTTTATAATAAACTAATCTATATTTTTAGTATTAGGTTTATTCAAAACAGTTATATATTTAAAATCTATATAAAAATAGAATTTATAATTTATAAAAAATAAAATAAGTTGTATTTAAAATAAATTCGGTCAGAAAAAGTTATTAGCTCTAATTATTTTATAAATAATTTATATAAATATAAAAATATTATTAAAATATTATTGTTAGAAACTACTTAACGCAGTAGACACGTTGGTTAGGCAAGAAAAATAAGATAATTAGAATATATTATTAGGGAAAGCAGTCTCAGTCCAATTTTAAGACTAATTCTTAAGAAATCTTCTCTTTTCAAGAATTCTGAAACAATATATTATACACGAAAGAAAGAAATAAGTAATATAATAATATAAACATCCGGATTAAAAGCCCGGTGAATTAGTATCGATCCAGAAGCAGACTATCTTTATAGTAGATATATACTGCCATAGGAGTAGGTATTGTATAACAATTATATTAATTTTTTCTGTTTGGTTGTTGGTTTCTGAATAGTATGATATAAAAAATTTACTAGTAATATTAAATTATCAAATTCAATATTTCTAAAATTTAGAAATAAACTCAAATTCTTTATTAAAAAAAATAAATTAAAATAGACTATATAATTTTTATATATATTATATATATATTATTTCAACAGCGGCGGTATTGGTAGTAAAATTATATAAAATCAAATACTTTATTTTTATTAAATAGTTAATAATTACTAGAACAGTATTATAGTTTTGGCTCTTAGATAAGTATATAATAAAGTTTATTAATATGTTTTATTATATTTATTTAAATACTAGTAGATGTTTTAAAATTTTTTATTTAGTTTTTTAAAATAGTATTATTTTTTAGTAAATCTAGTAGTTTTTTATTTATTATTCTATATATTAATAAATATTAGACTAGTAGTATTCTTGGACTGGTAGTTTACAAATATAAATCTTTTTAAAATATTTAAAAATAGATTTATCATAGACTAGCTGTATTAGTTCTTATAGAATAAGAAGCTTTTTTTTATATAATATTAATAATATACTTAGATAGTAGTTTTTATTAATAGCTAAAGCTTTCAATATTTTTCTAATCTATTTATTTTTTTTATAAATTATATAGAAAGATTTTTATATTTCGGGCGAAAGTTATACATCTTATTTATTTTTAAAAATAATATTTCTTTTGAATACACGGATTAAATATTAATTTTATTTTTAATATATTTTTTATATTTTTTATTTTCTAGCGGGGTCGGAAGTAGTTTTAAGAAACAGATAAAACTAATATTTTTTTATTTTAAAACTATTTAACTTTAGTATAACAAATATTTATTATTTTTAAAAGATTTTCTAATCTTTTGATCAGACTGTCCGGCTTGATTTTATATCTTTTACATCTATAAATAATTTTAAAATTAAAGTATAATAAAAACTTAAACTATCAGGCTTGTTAGTAGTTTAGTAACTTAATAAATATAAAATATTCTAGATTA